TAGAACTAGTTGCAGGATACATTATATGAGAATTCAGTTTTGGCATATTTGGAAATGCATGTGGATGTCTCTCTTCTGTTTCAACCAAAGATGTATATGGAATGCCTATGCTGATGTGTGACGGTACTATGCTAGGTACCATTTTAAGAAAGTGAGCTTGTTTGCTTGTGTGGGCCTTTTATGTCCCGTTTTAATTCTCCCAATTAGTAGGTACAAACAAGTGGGGAAAGTTTTGTATAGTCTTACAAACCTTTGTCCCTTGAAATATGCCTGATCCTGTATTTGGGATCAGCTAGCTGTTGCCTAGCACATAAAAATGCTTAACATCGGCTGAATAATTCTTAGAAGCACTATGAAATCCATCTTTTCCCAGTCATATTCCCAACTGTCTTTCTGCCACAAAACCTGCAGCTTTTTCACAGAATGTCATTTGCTGCCAGTTTGAGTTGAATAGCTGTGAGTCTAACTGAATGTAGTCTACCATTCCTCCCAGTGAAGAGGCTTTCACTTAAGTAAAAAAAGTTTAAGGTGCAAAGAGCTTATACTAAAATTCCTTAGAAAAATCTTTAAGAAACTGGAGTTTTGATTTAGCCCATGACCTCGTGAACTGGCAGTTGTGAGATGCACACTTTGTGCCAAGGCTCATGGAGAGCAAGAATCTTTTCAGCACATGTACACTTCTTATTCTGGGAATTTTTAGCAAACAACTCCTCTGCTCCTGCACCTATTGCTCAGGATGGTTAAAAACACTAGTTTCTGTCACAGGATAGGGGCAAAAAACAAGTTAACAGGATTAATTAAAATAGTGGGATAACAAAATCTGGAGTTGTTTTTTTGATGATCCAGACCTAATGGGTTAGGAAAGGCTTTCTGGAGTTGACCATAAAAGGACCAACAGGAGCTGAAGGTAAAGGGCTTTGGTGATCCTAGGAGCACTGCAGTGTGCCATAGCTGCAAGGCATGTGCTAGACATATGGTAGGGCCTGGAGAGACCAGGCAAAGAGGAGAGGACTGGACTGAGAGCCATTAAGTATATTTTCTTTTTTAATGAAGTAGTGCATTGGTGTAACAAACAAAAAATGGGGGGAAAAAATGAATTTTCTGCTTTTCCCAGGTCACCCATGTTTATCAGTCCACAACTTCATTTTGCACAAACCTAAAAACTGTTGTTTAAAAGTGGAAATGAGCTTCCCTTATGCCGCGCCTAGTTTTTTTTTTCTTTTAGCCCCCATGGCCGTCTCCAGTACAAAAGGCAGGGGGAGCCCCTGGGTAAGAGGCGGAGGTGGGAGAAGGGCTGTTTAGCTCCCGGACACCATGGCAACTGCCCAACACTTCCACTCCAGGAGGGAGAGGTGGTGGAGGGTGCGCTGCCCAAACTCTGGGGTGGGGTGCGCCCGGTTGAGTGTGGCTGTGCAGCAGGGGAACGCGACAGGCATCCTGGGCCCTTGCCCCCCTTGGTTCTTAAGACAGCTGCTCTGTTGCTGCAGCCCACCTATTTAACTGATACTCCTCTAGCACTTAAAACCCAAAATACATGGCATTAAAGTTAACTCTGTGAGTTGTCCCATCCCCCACTGAGCTGCTGAATGACTCTGGAAAACACTGAATGACCTGGTATTCCACACCAAAAAAAAATTTTTCTTTTAAATACAAGTCTCTGTGTGTTCTCCACTAGTTATTTTTTAGCTTGTATTACTACCATTAATAACATTTATTGAGCCCTTCCTTACTGTGTAAGCAGTGTTATTTAATTCTCAGAACTGCTTTATGAGCTCTAGCCTATTCTGAGTCCTATCACATGAAACAGATTTCAAGATTCCATACCTTGCTCCTGGAGCGTTGCGCAACTGACTGAGGTGGGATTCTAAAACTCAATTTTTTGACTCTGAGTTTTTCCACATTCTGTTAAGACTTACTGAAACCCCACAAAGGCAGACATGAGTAGAAAGAGCACCGAATTACAAAAATCTGGATTCCAGTCTTTGCTGTCATTTTTTTTACGTGGGCCAAGTCACCTGGTAACTTGTTTGAATGGCAAATCTCTCAGGTCCTACCCTAGGCCTACAGAATCCAAGTCCAGTGGGGCTCAGCAAGCATGCTCAGATTTGAGAACCAGTAAGTAGACTAGAGGTCATTTTCATCAACTGTAAGGTAGGTGTTTCAATTCTTGTTCTGTTGGTCTCAGAAGGTTGCTGCAATAACCAAATTAAGTGATAAAGGTACAAGACTTCAGAAACCCTTGAAAGAGCATCTTTACTGCTAAAACTTGCTAGCATTTTTCACTCACTGTGCTTTTAGAGCCTATGCTTCATTTTCCCATAGTACTTCAAAAGAGAGGAAATTACCATAGTGTCTATCTAAGATGGGAAGCAGCCTTGGTCTGAAACAAACTTGCAGTAGTTAAGGGCTGCCATTGTTTGACACTCCACAGCAATTCTAATAATGGTGTTACTGTTCTGGTGATTAACATAACTGTCCCCATGGTGCTGCTGTAGAGCCTTGGCTATATGTAACCATCTTTTTGATGACGCTACACTCAGTTCAGCTATACCAAAATACCCAGAGGGTGAGACTCAAATCATGTTTTAAAGCTTCCGAGGTAACTCCAATTGTAGCCAAGGTTGAGAGGCAGTACTATATGGAGAAAAAATGTGACGCTAATTTCACAAAGGAAGATCTGCCACCATGCTCCACTAGGACCCTCATGGGACATAATCAGCTTCTATTTTTATTCCCTCCAAGTATGAACAGACAGGGGAGGCATCACAAAAAAAGCATTAGTGCTGGGGCGATGGAACTACACACTTCCACGGATGCACTTGTATTTCTGTGATGACCTTGGCCATAGTTCTAACAAGAATTTTTTTTTTTAATACAGAATACAAACTTGTCAGTTTCTGCCTCTCCATGTTGTAACTATTTTCATCTTCTATCTTAAGGATTTTTTTTTTTTTTTACTGTGGTGAAACAAAAGTAAAGCTTACTCTCAACCATTTAAGTATACAATTCAGTAGCATTAATTAACTCTTGTGCAACCATCACTTTCAAAACTTTCATCACCCCAAACAGAAACAATTAAGCACGCACTAACTTACCGTTCCTCTTCCTCCCAGCCCTTGGTAATCTGTGCCTCTATGAATCTGCCTAAATATTTCACATAAATGAAATCTTTTTCTGTCATACATACATATAACACATTTTGTTTATCCATCTGTTAAGACACATGGCTTGTTTCCTCTTCTGCTATTGCGAATAATGATACCATAAAACATTGGCACACAATGTTCCTGAGTCAAGGAATGGAACTACTGGGTCATATGGTGAATTCCACATTTGGCTTTTTGAGGAGCTGCTTACAGAAACTGCACCGTTTTACATTTTCACCAACAAGGTACAGGGTTCTAGTTTCTCCATATTCTCACTTGTTTCCATTTGGGATTAGATTTTGGACTACTAGGTGTGAAGTTTTGTATCTCACTGTGATTTTCATTTTATTTTCCTCATGACTAATTGAAAACCTCACGTTAAGGATTTCTGTAATTTTTAAAATGTCTGAAAGTATTCTTAAATGTGTTACAATATAAGTTTATTGTAGAATTTAGACTCTCAATACAAATCCAGTGAAAACTAAAATTTGTTGAACCATTATGTTTAGTTATTTTGATTTGTTTTCCTTTCCTGGACACCTGCTTCACTATCCAAATAAGAGGGTAGCTGTCTGGCCACAAATTAAAAAAGAACCCAAGAATGATGTGGAGAGGCTATCAATTAGAACTGTCACTATGACAAGAAACCTGAAGGTTTGGGAAATGATGCACTTTACACGAAGTTTTTTTAACTCAAGTGTTCTGAGGGGAACTTAAGCTGTGGGTTACTTCCAGGTTAGAAATGTTTTAAGCCTCCTGATTACAATGAGATACAGAATCAGCAGAATTAAACAGTAAGCTCTCACATTCTCACTTCAGCATTTGCAAAGATTTTAAAGCCCCCTTCTTTTGCTCATTACCCCTCAACTTTCATTCCCCACCCTTGTTTAATATTAAACATTTAACTATGGTTAAATAGTATTATTTGGTATTACTCACTTTAGTTAAATGAAAAATTATGTATCTTAATTAGTGAAAAGCCAATACTTCAACCTGGGAAAAAAAAGCCTATGGTGACACATTGGACATGCTTTTGAATCAGTATATTAAGGAGACATTCATACATTTCAAGAATTGCTTAAATTCTGATATCCAGATTTAAGCTTGTGAACATATGACTTTAAACATACAATTAAAGCTATTCATAATTTGCTATTCTACTAACATTAAATTACAGTTACTTTGGAGCATAAGTTAAATGGTTTAAAGTAAGCCTGTAACATACCTGCAAAACACCTTCCTAACTCATACATGCAAAATACTTCTCATCACTCTAACTTCTAAGTTACCCTGCTCCAGAAGTGACTACTCTAAGGCTTACTGTGGTCCAAAGAGAAGGAAGAAAAAAAAAAAAGTAACCAGGACCAATAGCTAGATATATTAAAAAAAGATGGCACAGCAGAAGGGAATGCAATCCTACAAGCGCAAGCCCTCAAGAAGCAGCATGTTATATGATAAACCCCTTCTTTAGAAAGGTGTCATTTCTATCACTGATACCACAGGCTAAATTATATAGCATGCCATCTTCAAGTAACAGTTGAGGCAATAGAATAAATGCAGAGGCATCACAATGAATCCCACTTAATACCACTATACAGACCAACACGTCTCTACAAATTCTTTGTCTGACTGCCAGTTAAATACAATTTTAAATTCATAGCTTAACAATTAAGGGTCATACACTGAAGCCAATACATATACCTGGCATTTCAGTCTAAGCTATTCCATGTACATAGCTGAAATCAATTACAAAGTATGGCCTAACAACTGCTAGGGGAAATTTTTTAAAGTAGTTTTTACAAGTATTAAACTTATCTTGCACACTGAAGTCATCATACATACAGGGCAAAGTCAGAGCTTTTATATTCGAGTTTATTCTTCATTTAACTTTTAAAACACTACTATAATTGAATATTAAAACAAACAATAGCAAGTAGTGAGCATGTTATGATTATAGTCCTTCACTCAATCACTACTGCAAATAAAATGCCAGCAGTGAGTGTTATTCACTGGCCCCATTAGGAGGTCTGACACTGAACACCACCCCGAGGATGATGTTCATCATCCTCATATGCTTCTCCATTGTAATGGCGCCGTCTTTCCTGATTTGGATCAAAGTCCACTAGTTCTACCTGGTCCATTTCATCAGTCTCTTCTACTTCCTTCCTCTCAGGTAGGAGTTTTTCCAGCAAAGAGAGTTTATCCGGGGAGAGAAAGCCATTCTCGGGAAAGTTTACCTATAATAAGAAATTTCTACTTTAAGTTTAAATGACACTTCATCTTTAGCTCCTTAGACAAATACCATTGACCCATTTTCCCCAGGAAAAAAAACATGAAACCACACAATCTTTTGGTAAATCTGCCAATCCCAGGTTAGAACACATGTTCTAAGAAGGCATATATCATCTACTATTCTGAACTAGAGTTCAAGGTAAGATCTTAAAAAAAAGATCCTAATAAAACTATACTGTAATGATCACTTCTATTCAGCAAATACATTTTAATAGGAGAACCCATCCTAAAACACATTCTCATTCCTTCTAATGGATAATTTAAACAAAGCTATTGTTACTCAAAGACAGTCCCACCCAAAGATGTTTTTAATAAATGTTAACTTTGTGGGTCTGAGGCCACTCAAATTTAAGATTGAGGGGAATGGTTGAGTTACTTTAAGAACCAGAGCATTGCAGTATTTTGCCAAAAATCCACACCAGCTAACATGCTTCTGTTGAACTTTAAGATTCCAGTTATAGCCTTTCATTAGTAAATTACCCACCTGCCACCACCCCCCCACCTTTAAATAGCGATAATGATGCAAACAAACCAATACCAACTTGTTAACAAAAAATGTTCAACATAACAAGAGTAACATTAGATCTAGACAAGGGGGAATATAAACTTGGTTTCTGGCCATTCAGAAACTAACTGCTACTAGATTTTAGTAAACTAATCATTCTCAAACATTTCTACAGTACTGTATAGCTTACCTTAAATTCAATGATTAGGCGACCCTTTTCATATGGTCTACGATAAATTGGCATGCCTTCATTTAGCACACACTTGATATCTCCATGCTTGACAATCTGACCTAAAAACATTGAAGCCAAATTCCTTAAATACAGTCACACTTTTACGAGGCAGTGAAAATAAAGAACAGAGCAATGTCCTAGCTCATTGATAGGGGTAAATTTATATGAAATGATGCTGATACCTTTCATTTATAGGTTTTCTAGGGGCTTACAAGAGAGCCAAGAACGCATGATTTCAGCTCAGCTCAAGGATAGACATATACCGAGCAACTTAAATGCCACTTTCCTCCGTGGCTATACTAGCTATAAGCAGACAATGAAAACACTAGAATAGAAACACGCTCATCTAGTTACTGTACCTGGATGAGAAGTGATGACTATGGTTCGGTTGTCAAGAGTAGATATTGGCTTTTGGAAGCCACACAATGCCTCAACCAGCTGTATGTCCATACACATGAAAAGGTCTTCTCCTCGTCTGTACAATGTAAGTACGGCATATACTTAGATCTTCAAACCAGCAATGATTACAACTACCAAAGTAGGCAATTCTGTTCTCTTAAAAACAAATGGTTATCTTTCAAAAGATGCCCTTTCTTCCCCATTCTTGTTTGTTTCCTTTGATAGGTACGAAGTGGATTTATTTAGAGAAACATACTCCAGAGTGTGGGCCATCTCAGAAGGTGAGGAAGGCCTCTTCCCCATTCTTAAGAGCTGAGAACTGGGTACAGCAAACATATGGAAACTGCCAGCACAGTTTCCTGGACAAGGCTTCAGAATCCCTCCACACACTCTAGGCAGTGGAACAAACCTCAGGCTGGGTCCTGGATAAGTTAGGGTCTATGAAATTAAATAAAAGGGATATGGCTAATTTCAAGGGGAAGTAATTTATTGATGTACATGAATTAAGTAATATAGTGCCTGGCACAGTATGAACACTATTTTTATGTTTAATAACAACCCACTTCTTCCACCTCATGCTTGCTTACTTTTCCAATTCATATTAATGACATCTTTTCATCAGGCAGAATACTCTCCAGAAATACTCTTGTTGAGGATTCACCTCAAATGATAGCATCAAAATTCTGAGCTCGATAGCATTTCCCATTATTCTTGAGACACTAATAATCTAAAACCTGTTCCTTGAGATGTCATTCCCAACAGACTTACTGGAACCCTACTCCAGTCTAATGTTTTAAAATTAGCCATTGATACATTATTTAACACTGTTAACTTTCTTGTGCATCACTATAAATTTATCATAAACACAAAATTATTTCCTAACAGACGTGAATTACAGCTTCTTACACAGATGATTCTAGACATTTATTTAAAATTAAAAGCAACCCAACGTACCATGAACTCAGGATTGAAGAAACTGGTGAAAGCTTTAGGGTACTTATTTCAAAACCAACTGCTTATTAAAAAAAACGGGGCAAAGTTTTGTCTAGGGATGTTTCCCCTACTCTATTTATACAACACATCTCCTAACTGATGTATATCCTTCAAAATCCAAATTAGGCAACAATTTACCTACATTTAGACCAAAAAACCAATGATTTTTGTCTTTAGCTTCTTCTAAGACTGAAACGATGATTAACAATCATTTATAAAAGACATATATAGTCTAACTTTTCTGCTATACTTTTCTAGATTATTTCTAGGAAATGTATTCTACAAGTAATGAAAAAGCTCACTTATATTTGAGAAAAAAAAAAAAACCCAAATATGCAAGATGTCGGTTTGAGTATTTGATAAAAAAATTTTACCGAGTAAAAACAGCATGGTCCTTCTGATCTAAAACGATGATAATATCTCCTGGCTCCAGTCCTGGTTCTTGGTCTCCTTCACCATGGAATGTTATCTTCTGGCCATCTTTCATGCCTAAAAACAAAAGGCTAATTTTATACTCTTAACATCTAAGTAAGATCAGAATCTCTACTGAAACACAAATGCATGTTTGTGCATGAAAAAAATGTTCAAGTCTTTGCGGATGCTAAAGTTTTACAGAATTTACCAAAAACGCCCACATGCTTATTAGATCAGTCCAATTTCTTACTGAAGAAAGCTATCATAGTGGAGAACACAGATTCTAGAGGCAAACAAGCCAGGCTTTGAATCTCAGAGCTGCTGTTTACTACTAGGCCTGATTACCCTAAGGAAGCAAATTGCATAACCTTCCTAAGCATCAACTTTCCCACAGAGACCTATGTCCTCCACCAGGGCTCTTGTGGGGGACTGAAGAAAAAGGTCTATGCTGGCACCAAATCAGTGACTGGCAAACATTATAACCATAAATGTTTTGAACTATTTCATCACTTTAAAAAAACTTAAGTCAAATCATTTCTATTAAGTCTAACAGAAGCATAAGTCAGACTTTCTTCCTTCTATTGTATTAGCAGTAATATAAAATCTAAAAATTTAAAAAATATGTAATATTTATATTGAATGATTTTAGTCCTTTTTTTTTTTTTAAAAAAAGAGGATAATTATGGTTGGGTACTTTCAGCCCATGTGGTTATCAGTGTCAAAAATAAGTTTCTCCAATAGGCAAATGCTTTAAAAAAATTATTATTTTTGGCTGCTTTGGGTCTTTGTTGCTGTGTGGGCGTTCTCTAGTTGTGGCAAGCAGGGGCCACTCTTTGTTGCGGTGCGCAGGCTTCTCTTGTTGCGAAGCACGGGCTCTAGGGGCACAGGCTTCAGTAGTTGCAGCATGCAGGCTCAGTAGTTGTGGCTCGTGGGCTCTAGAGTGCAGGCTCAGCAGTTGTGGTGTATGGGCCTAGTTACTCCGCAGCATGTGGTATCTTCCTGGACCAGGGCTTAAACCTGTGTCCCCTGCATTGGCAGGCGGATTCTTAACCACTGCACCACCAGGGAAGTCCATCCAACAGGCAAACGCTTCTTAAAGGCCAACACATTTACTGAGATTTCTTCCCTCTGGCCCATACACCTTAGTTCAGTAAGGGCTTACTTAAGCCAACTAACACCTCTTTAAACAGAACTCATGTGTTTGCAGATGATTTCTCTACAGCAGTAGTGCCAGATTTCCTGAACCAATGATCACTGAGGTCACCCAACAAGAGCAACTTTGTTTCACTTTCTATTACGGAAAGTATTAAACTTACATAAAGTAGCCGACAGTACAAGAAGTCCCTATATATCCATCAATATAGATCCAGTAATTACCAGGTCATGACTACTATTTCATGTATTACACACCTCCATCCACATTCCCTGCATGTATTTCAATTAAAATCCAGACATACCAATTAACCCAAATACTTCAATATATACCTCTAAAAAGAGAAGGACTTAAACCAAAATATCAGTATTACACACTGACAAAAGTAAACATTTTAAAACAATTTATTTATTTTATTTATTTTTGGCCGCATTGGGTCTTCGTTGCTGTGTGCGGGCTTTCTCTAGTTGTGGCGCACGGGCCTCTCATTGCGTGGCTTCTCTTGTTGCGGAGCACGGGTTCAAGGCAATTGGGCTTCAGTAGTTGTGGCTTGAAGGCTGTAGAGCACAGTCTCAGTAGTCGTGGCGCATGAGCTTAGCTGTTCTGTGGCATGTGGGATCTTCCGGGACCAGGGCTCAAACCTGTGCCCCCTGCATTGGCAGGCTGATTTTTAACCACTGTGCCACCAGGGAAGCCCAACAATCTGTCTTTAATCATTCACAAGGCAAAGTAACTATCTCACTACACTAGTGAAGCAATTAAACTCAGCTAAGTTTTGCTGGTTGTTCCATTAATGTTAAGAGTATGGGCAGGGACTACCCTGGAGATCCAGTGGTTAAAACCCCACGCTTCCACTGCATGGGGCACGGGTTCAATCCCTGGTTGGGGAACTAAGATCCCATAGGCTGCAGTGTGGCCAAAAAAACGGGCAAGTGCAGCATTCATAAATGGCTTCACTTACTACTAATGCCCTCCTGAGTACATACTGTTGGTAACAAGGGGGGAATCTTACCAGAGAGAAATTCAAACCCTACTCAACAGGGACCAATTAAGGGGGAAAATGGTGGGAGGGGAGGTACCATGATTCACATGGGTGAATACTATTTCAGGAGCTTAAGTTAATGTAGATGTATATTTTCTAATAACAATTTCATTTTAAAATAGCAAAGTCTGAAAGAGCCAACCATGCTGATTATTTCAGAGTAAGCAGCACCAGTTATTCTGGGGCTATACACATTTCTAAAATTTCTACAATGAGTCTGTACTGCTGTAACACATTTTAAAGCATTTTTAAATAAACTGAAAAAATTAAGGAACTGGCAAAATAAAGTAAATCCTAGTAACATTTAAAGAAAAATTTAAGTTATAGCCCAAGAGGCAGAAATTGATGTACGTTTACATAATCTGTAAAAACCATTAGAAAGTAACATTCATAGTCTAAATTCTTACAAATAAGTTAATTAATCAAAATATACCTATTCCTTACTCCAACAGTAGTTTTAAACAACTATAAAATGTAACGTTAATATAATTTGCAATAGCACTCAAGAATTGAAAATAGAAAGTGGCTCAGAACTCACCTTTGTCAATATGAACTTCTAGAATTTTCTTCTCTCGAACTATCTTCCTTCCATTGCAGCTTTTACATCTATCTTTAGGACTGATCCGCTCCCCATGGCCCTGGCACTCCATGCAGACAGACTGAATTTGCTGAACCATTCCAGGTCCTATCTGATGAATTCTTATTTGCATTCCAGTACCTCGGCAATTGGGACAGCATTCTACTGCTCCTTTCTTACCACCTCGGCCTAAATAGTTCAAAAAGAAATTATATTTGAATTTAGTACTGGACATGGTGACGAATATTTTAATGAGACAGTTCCTAAACACTCCACTTCATTAATATTTTCAAGGTCTGATGGAATGCCGCTATAAGAATCTACAATTCAGCCTTTTTATTTGATAAAATATCACCACAGGGCTTCCCTGGTGGCGCAGTGCTTGAGAGTCCGCCTGCCGATGCAGGAGACGCGGGGTCGTGCCCCGTTTCGGGGAGA